ATGAATAGTGGAATTGTACAGCGCTTTGAGGGTCCTGAAAAGCGCTGTATAAATGCAATCCATTATTATTATTTATTATTAATCTCTGGGTAGAAAGAAATTATATTTCAGGTTGTACGCACTGTTCACCTCAGTCGCATTAATCTTGTAGATGAGAGCCTTGTTTACTGAACTGTTGTCCATAGCCAGCAGCATAGACTGTAGCCAGTCAAGTTGCCTCCAAATCACAGCATGCAGGCATTTGCTGCTGTCACATTATTGCACCATGCTCCTCTAAAGGGGCAATGTGTTTGCATTAGAGGGCCAAATGTGTGTGAGCCTGTAACAAATGTCTGTGTATGAATCTGCCCACAGCAAACACACAGCTCTGCCTCACTGTACTTTGTCTTGACTCGTTCAGCAGTGTGTACTCGAGTACACAGTGAATCCAGATTGTGTTGGTTCTGCTGGTTCTTGCGTGTTTGGGAGCAGGCCCCAGGACAGGTTGTAAATCTTACATAGTACCTTTTGAAGAGCAGGACCAGTGGGCGCTGTGTCTCCTCATAACTCTGCTCATGGGGATCTTAAGTCAGGAGGCTGGGCGGAGTCAGTTGGAAGCTTTGAATTTGGATTCCCTGAAGATGGCCTTCGTGTGTAATTATGTATAATGTACATTGTTTTTCCTTTTTTTAACCTCTGGGAGTTCACCACTCACCTTTGTACCATTTGGACTTGATCAACTTGAACTTCAATAAATAACTGGAAACACTGGGGTGGTCCAAAACCTTTGACCAGTAGTGTATCTAACATGCATATAATCCTTTCAGTGGTTCTTTTTTCTTTTTGCTATTTCTGTTGATCCACAGATTTGTTTTGTGCAGCTCTAGAAATTTTTAGTTCATTTCTTTAACTTTTGACTTTTGTAATCCACCCAAGCTATTAGTCTGCTGTGCATCTGTGTCTGTTTTCATCCAGTTCAGCACAATCAGGAAGCAGATTTAAAGGTCATTGCACGAGCTCATTGGATAATTACCGTTTTTAATTGCTCTCAATCAAGGGAATTAGCAAGAGTGCTCTGGACTCTGAGTGTTTCCACCACCATTGTTCAAGATCCTTCAGTTTCAGGATTAGTGACATCACAGAAGTCAATTATGTTTTAAAGAGGCTTGAGGATGCCCCTTTGTTCAGCCTGAGCATTAGACTTGAAATGAACAAGAGTTTTTAAGGCTTCAGTAAAGCTTAGCGTTTGGTGACTCCTGTAGAGCTTAAGATTCATTAAACTGCAACTTCCTTTATTCACACTCAAGTGCTGTTTGGAGCCATAAGCCACAAAAAAGAAAAAATGGAATTGAAAGAGAAATTTGTGATAAAGAGAAAAAAGAAAGTACACCCTCTGTCAGTTGTAAAGATATAATAAAGAACTGTCCAGCCCATACCAGGTGTTAGAATGAAGGTAATACAACCTGAAAAACAACTCATGTCGCATTTCGCTATATTTGTTTATTCATCAAAGACTAAGCCAAAATGTAGAAGCACTGTGTGAATAAATCATAACCCCTATTTCAGGATAAAACGCATAAAACAACAAAACTCAGTTTAAACAGAGCATTTGGAGATGAAAAACAAAAACACAACAGCGCGATGTCATTGTGAGGCACCCACTCTTCATTAAACAGTGGTCCATTCTCTGGGAACGGAGGAGACCAAATGTTTGACTTTAGTGAATGAATGTTACTATTCACTTAAACCAGGAGAACTTTTTTATGCTTTTCCTACACAAGTGCTTTCTATCTAACATTCACACACATTCATACTGATGCATAATAGACATCGTCTATTTTTATGCTGCTGAAAGAGAACAACAGGAAACAGCGGGGCGAGAGGCAGTTAATTGTAGAAAATCACCAAAAAAGGAATCATATCTAGCTGTCACTGACTAGCTGTCACTGATGCATGATAATATACTCTGCTTATGCATACAGGGTGTGTACAGCCCTTTAAAATAGTGTATTTCCACTTTGAGCTCTACCGCAGCGGTCCCCAACCTTTTTTGCGCCACGGACCAGTTTATGCCCGACAATATTTTCCAGGACCGGCCTTTAAGGTGTCGCGGATAAATACAACAAAATAAAACCGGTACCGGTACCGAAAAAAAGATTTGTTCATAACACACGTGAAAAGACCCAGGAAAGAAGAAGTGGAGAGCAACTTAGGGTTAGTATCTTGGCCAAAGATATTTGGCATGCACACTGCACCAGCCAGGGATCCATAACTAGATAATCTGGTCTACCTCCTGAGTTACAGCCAGCCCGATATTTCTAGAGCTCTGAGTCCTTTTGTGACCTCCTGGATGAGTTGTCAGTGTGCTTTTGGAGGATTTTTTATAGTCTGGCCACTCCTGAAAACATTTTGTGCATTATAGTTTTACAGCTGATCAAAAACAACAATACTTTTCCCCAAAACAGAAACCAAAGCTCCAAACATGAACTCAGTAATGAGGAGCTCCACCGTTATTGTTGATCACTTCAAAAATCCGTTGTGGCATGCTCAATGCAAGCCTTTCCATGAGGTGAGTGGGAACATTTCTCCAAGTGGTGAAGACGGCTACACGAAGGGCATCTTCTGTCTGGAACTGTTGTCCATTTTTGTAAACTTCCCTCACCATCCATCCCCAAAGGCTCTCAGTTGGATTTAGATCAGGGGAACACGCAGGATGGTCCAAAAGAGCGATGTTATTCCCCTGGAAGTCTTCAGCATACCAAGACATTTTGAACTATTTATTGTTCCCAACTTTGTGGGAACAGTTTTGGGATGGCTCCTTCCTGTTCCAAAGTGACTCAACAATTCCCATAAACACACCCATACATCCTAAATATTGTGGAAAAGCCTTACTTGAAGACTTTAAGCTGTAATAGCTGCAAAGGGTGGGCCAGCATCATAATAAACCCTATGGATTAAGAATGGGATGTCATATGTGTGTGGAGGCAGAAGAGCAAACAGTGCATCTCTGTGCCAAACTGAAAACTTTGTCTGTTGTTGCTGACATTTATTTTGACTAAAGGATGAATTTCTCAGATCCGTTTGCGTGCTATCAGAATTCCCTTTTTTCCGAAGAGTTACACAGAAAGTCTTGAGGGAATTTGATTATAGAAATATTCATTTGGATGAGTCAAGGACTAACAGTTGAAGGTGAAGATCAGTGCACCCTCACACAAAACACTTCTTTTTCTAATTCTGACAACGTTTTAGATAAATCTTGAACAAGATCAATTAACTGTGCTGATTGTACTGATTTTCTGCTGCAAGTCTGTGTTTACTGTTCACTTTACTGGTCAAGTGTCATGGGCTTAATTTCAGCTGCATTTAAATAGTTCACCTCCAACATCACCGTATATTTTGGCATGGCAGTAGGCCAGGGGTGGGCAACTCCAGGCCTCGAAGGCCGGTGTCCTGCAGGTTTTAGATCTCACCTTGGGTCAACACACCTGAATCACACGACCAGGCCTCTGGAGAACTTCAGGACATGTTGAGGAGCTAATTTAGCCATTTAAATCAGCTGTGTTGGTTCAAGGACACATCTAAAACCTGCAGGGGCACCGGCCCCCGAGGCCTGGAGTTGCCCACCCCTGCAGTAGGTAGTTTGTTGTGTCTACATCTGCACAGATGTCATTCTGTTTCCAGCTAAATCTCTTTGAATAGTTGGGATTAAATATTCCTCCTAAACCTGACAGTGCTGCACTCTTACCACTGTTTGCTTCTCTCCTGTGATTATTGAACAGTGAAAGCAGAACGACCTCCCAGTGAAGGCTGCAGCTGCCACACTGTCCTTGCTGAACATGTGCATAAACCATTTTTTAAAGGCAGTTAGTCTGCGTGTTTTTAAAAAAAATGTTTTTACGTAACATCTTGTTTTGTGTGTTATTATTAATGCTTCAGCTATTATTACTATGTTCAGTTCCAGCCTGTTTGAAAAGAAAATGGAAAAAGAAGTTTCTTATATATTTCCTGTGGTAAATTCAGAAGATCTAGTTTATTTATTTGTTTGTATTTTGTCTTTTTTATATTGCTTAAAAATAAATTGTGTCCACAGTAGAAATTTCAACCTCTAGCTCTATGAGATGTGATCATAGATGCATTTGCTCCTGTGGGCTGTGTGTTGATAGCGTCCAATTCGTTAAAACAAATATACTGACTTACACAGGATTGTCTTGACTCCTGTGCGGCTGGTATTTTCACATACCACCCTAGAAGTCCTGTCAGGACCACTTGCATATATGCTCTGCAGTTGCACCATGGACATGCACAAACATCAGCTTTACTGTGAAACTGATGACGCTGTCAGAGCAGTTTGGTCATAGTGGATTCCACAGTGCATTAACTCAGCAGAACCGCTGCTGAGCATCACACGTCATCATGCAGCTGCCCACAGTGCAGTGAAAACCCACGATCTTTGTTTACCACTACCTCTAAACTGGGCTCCCACCTGACGGTGTCGTTTTCCTCACAGTTTGAAGGTGGTCATTCTGACAGACAGTAGCACAGCAGGCAGATTCTCAACCACTTGAGCACCATTGAGTCTGTCATGGACCCTGATATTGTTGTATAACCATCACATTTTCATAAAATAGGAAAAGATGAAGAACTTCTGGGTAATCCTTAGTGACATGAAATAAAAGCAATAAATTATTGTAGAGTCTGTAACTTAAAATCACCTTGTGGCTGTTGTGATTTGGCGCTATCTAAATAAAACTGAATCTACGGGGAGGTTGAGGGGGAGCACTGGCAGCTGCAGTATGTTTGAAGTTTTGGCCTGCATTATGGCTCATCAGGGTCATTATTCTTAAAATAAATGGATATTCTACCTGACAGGATTAAGCAGAGTCAAGCTACAGAGAAAAAATTAATTATACTTTTATATAATTATATAATTTTCTCTCATGTTTGTGCCATCTGAGGAGGTGAAATCCAGGTGAGTATATAGGATAATATCACTGTTTTTCTTTTCTCCTGTCTTTGCCCAGTGCTTGGTGTTTGAAGATGCTCCCAATGGTGTAAAGGCAGCACTGGCAGCAGGAATGCAGGTGGTCGCGATTCCCGATGACAACCTGGACCGCAGCCTTATCCAGGAGGCTACGCTGCGACTAAGGAGTATGGAGGAGTTTGAGCCGGAGCTCTTTGGCCTGCCAGCATATGACTGAAATGGCTCATACCCCAGCACGTAATTCAGGAAGCTAGTAACCATTGTTAATTGATTGGTTGTTAAACAATAACTTCATAAATGAGTAAACTATTAGTAAATGGATGGGCACCGTAAATCTGCAAATGTAAATCTGTATTACACCTACACATCTTACTTACTAAAAAGTTGAACCTGATGGTTCTAATCTTTGTTCCAAAGGGAACCGTTCAGCTTAGGGTGGTGGTGATGTAAACTACGTCATGTGACTCGTCTTATTATCGTACTCCTGTTATCGAAAGGCTCATTTGAACCGTACAAAAATCTAATAAAGAAAACATCAGCAGTTTGAGTTGAGCCATGTTCAGGTTCTTCACTGTCACCTGTAAAATACCCAGAGTAGCAGGCACATTGGCCCTTATTCAATGATGCACAATACAAACACACACGCACAAGTAATTGTCTTACATTCGTTAGGTGACTTTTTAATCTGATAATTTAATTTAATAATGAATGGTTAATATTAGCGTCGGTGCTGTTATCCCGAAGTATATATCCTCATATTATGAACTGTAGCTTCTCGGAGGAGTCACTGGAAAAGCTTCAGATGCAGGTCTGTCATTCTAACACAGTATCACCTTTTGTGGTCGTCTGGATGTGGACACATCGCGAAGTTGAAGTTGTTCTTGTCATACACTTCGTCTAAGATGCCTTTTTGAAATGTCAGAGACAATCCTCCTCTGCTCAGTGTGATCCAGTGAAGAGGCTGTGAGTCGTCCTCACTCCTGAACTGACTCCATCTGCTTGCAGAGCAGGCTTTAATGGGGGAACCCTGGAGCAGGCTGGAGCAGGCTGGAGCCGCAGCTCCTCAGTCTACTCCCATCGACTCCCCTTTCATAGCCTCACATCCTCAACAACAAGGTCGTCTCAGCTGTTTTTTTCTTCTGTGCTTGTTGCTTACAGAGTCGTCACTGTCTCTGGGCCTGAAATGTGATTGTTTCATTTTCTGTGTGTCTTCATTTCTTGTTTCCAGCAAGGCAAAGGTGTTTTTTTACATTTTGTTTCCAAAAGAATTATGCCTGAAAAATAATACCTGACTTCATTTTCTCCACCTTCCTTAAATGAATAAATAAATCCTATGACAAACCCAGAAGATAATACGTTTGCATTCGTTCCTAATCCCTAATAATTTTCTTCTTGACTTTGATTTCAGATTTAATTAGTTAATTGGTTATTTTCAGACTTGCATACATTTCTCAGCACAGCTTTTCAGAGCATAGAGTTCATGAACAAATAGCAGCTGTGCGTCATTGCTAATTTATTTAGGCATTTAAAACATTTCATATAGCATCAGTTAACGTGTGAAATGCTGACGATAATCATGAGGACCAAGTGTGCACAATCACTGCAGGATTTAGAGCGGTGCTGCTGAAGGGAGGAGATTAAGTACAAGACAAAGCTCCTTACTGTTTACGGCTTCATATGAACGACCCACATTTTACCAAAGAGACCAAGATGAAAGAAACTACAGAGTATTTGTGCTCTATAAAAGTAGAGATGAGAGATGCTGCCACCTGCCAAAGCTAAACAGCTTTGAGAGGTGATAATAAAAAAGGCCCGTGGTGTTTCATCCACTGTAATGGGCAGCGGGGTTTGTGGGTCTGTAGGTCCAGCAGTGTTCAGTTTACCCGTCACGCCACATATCATCTCTCGCACACTTACCTACATAATGTAGCACTAGTACTGCATTTGTCTCTCTTTGTTTAAATGTCTCAATCATCACATTTAATTTTAAAGAAGAGCATTCTACAAAAAGACTGACATAGAGGATGCACTTAAACCCACTTTAGAGAACTCTGGATTTTAGGTATTGCAGAAAGAGTCCGTGGAAGTTGGATTTATGGATATCAGTGAGGGGATCTGGTGGCTCTACGATGTTGTGGGGTGTTTTGCGTGGTTTTATCCCGTAAGAAGAAAAGGTGAATGCAAATCAATGGAAAAGCTGATCACATTCATCCTAACGAAACTACTCACAGGTGCATTGATGAGAATGTAAGAATCACCAGACCACAGTATAATTAAATGGCTGTGGTGTTCTTTCCTGCCATGGCCAGTGCGCACTGACTGGCACCAATCCTCCAACAGCGCCTTTCTGAGGAGCATGCCTTTGTATTCTAATACATGTTTGAAGATCCTGGTTTTCTGCTCTGGACTAATACTTTTTCAGATCCAGCATTTGTCACACAGCCATCTTTAGGTCTTTTGGCTACAGAGTGCTGTTATAAAGTCTGTATGAGCGCTCGAGGCAGTGCACAAACAAACAAGCGAAAACAGGCAAACAGCAAAGTGAGTTTCTACTATTTCCCATCTCTGCCAGTCACCCTCGCCTTTTATCGTTGCCACAAACCTTTTCGACTTCATTTCTGCCTGTGAGCGAAGAGGGCAGGAGAGAGCCTGGAAGAAGCGCAGAGATAGCTCGCTGACACGTTTCCCAGGCCCGTGTTGTCGTCTGTGCTCACCACTGATAGGCTGGCGTGGCTGTGGGACACATTCATCTTCAGTGTCAGGTTTTATATGCGGATTTTATCAGCACTTAGACAAGCAGCTTCTCCACAGGCAAAGTCAAATCACTGGACAGCAGAGAGACATTGTACAGATAACCTCATTTAAACATTTTTCTTCTTAGTGTGTGCCACGCAGTGACGCTCTCTGTGACTGAATATGGAAAGTACTGGATAGGCAGGCTCATCAGATTATGCCGGCAAGCCGTCCTATATTTTAGGACTTAGTTACTGAATGTCATATCTTTGAAGAAGCAGGGATGCATTTTTCTGGAAGATTTGGAAAGAACTCATATTTCTGTAATGGGATTTGAAGAGAGAAGAAGTTGCCACCTTGGTGGAAGAAGTGCTGGCTGTAACCTTTGGGAGCCTTGGACATCAACTCAAGGAGCAGTAGTGTAAATATTTAAATTCATTTGTCCCAGAAGTAATCAGAATCCAAAAGGTTTCATCCAAGCACACTGCACTACTTCTGTACATTGCCAAGTCCTTTTGTTAACAGTCCTCGAGGAAGCCTACTTTTAAAGATGTGAACAGAACAAATAGCTCTACTCTGTGCGAGAAAGCAGAACTTTTAGTTTTTAACCCTCAACACCCCACGCCAAAGCGTCTCTCAAGCCTGCCTATCATCAACAAACTGGCTGTGGCTAAACTGCCAAGAAGGCTAGCGCACATAAGAATGCCAACATCCAGTAATAGTGGCTCTGCTGGATGTCATTTTGTATTCTGTTGTCAAAATGTGCAACCGTACTCAAACCAAAAGGGATTTTATGGAAATGAAGATACTGAAGGTCTCTGACCGTGAGAGGGACTCTGCCTGGTTATAAGATGGGACTCAGTGTTTCCTCAGTGATGCAAATATAGCTCATGTTTTATTCAGCTTCAACTCGTGAAACAATGCAACTGATGACAGGAGCAGGTGATTTTGGGAAGAAGATTTATGAATGCAAAAATGTTTTTAATGCACAATTAATAATAGGCAATTATGGTAGTAAGGACTTCTTGGGTACTACTTTTCCTTGTACAGAAAACCTTCACATGGGCTTTCATATCGTCCTACATCTTTAAAAAGTCTTCCCATGTCTCATTTCCACCACATATGTAGTTTTAATAGTGGCTTTAAAGAGCAAACAGCAGATTTAGGACAAAGCTTTATAAAAAGACGTGACAAATAGTGTTAAACAATCTTTTGACTGACAATTAGAATTTTTAAAAAGCACTCGATACAACACAAACACGAGTACTAAGATCACTTGTGTCATTCAATGTTCCACTTTGACTGAAGTCATGGCCGCCATCTTCTGTGGCTGAATGCTGTGGAATCTGGGGATGATTTCATGTAAACCCAGCACAGTGATATATATGATTAAATGTCCTTGTGGGTTGGTGTTCGTTGGTAAAACATCAGGTCTCTGAAAAGCACAATTTCAGAACATAGGTGTCATATTAGAAATCATCAGTCAGGTTTAGCTGCCAACCTTTTTTTAACCATATGAATCCCAGTTTGTCTTGTCTTTGTTGTATTGGCACTGAGCATGCACACTTCCAAAAAGACGAGGGGACATCAATGCTCTACTTTTAGAGCGTGAACTTTCTTGGATTTTCACTCTGGACATTTTGGCCCCAACAGGTCTTAACGAAGAACTGGACATTCTTCTTTTTCTATAATTCCAAGTATTACAGTGTAACATAACTTTGATATTTTCTCTATATTTCTTATGGATTCATGTGTTTTAGTTCAGGGTCATGTTGTCGTTACTACAGCTAATAATGAAAGCGCCTCTTTAAGAGTTCGTCATGGAAATACCTGATGGCATTGTAAGATCTTTTAAATGTTTTTGGTATTGTACATTGTGTATACACATTTTTATGTCTTCATTGGATGCATTGTGGTTTCTGTTCTTTTTATTTAATTTTTATCATGATGATAAAATGCTTATTACAAATTTTTAAAGGCCATAAAAAATGTAACAGTAAAATGCAACATTGTGGCAAACGAGAGATTAATGCTACAGGAAATCATTACATGGTGGTTTAATGCATGAAGCGGTAAAACAAACATTTTAAATCCAGTTGATTATTTTATCACTGAGAGTGCTCTCAGTGCTGCTGTTTGTTTTAAGCTATGAAACTTTAAACTGGATCCATTTAAACATTAAAGCTTCCTGTCCCACAGCCTGAGAAACTGTTGCAGTTTGTGGCAAATCAAAGTGAAATCAGTTTGACTGATTGAGCAGGTAGTCTTAGTATGTTCCTGTTTTTCCAGCTGTGTAAAAATGACACTCAGATCAGAATCATGTAAAAACAACATTTTCTAAATCACCAAATTGCTTCATTTTTGTTCTTGTGATGATGCAGTGCACAGTTTGTGCTTCATTCAGTTGGTTGCTCCACAGAGATTGTCATGGTACGCAGAAAATGTACCAAGAATACGTGTTCATTTAAACTGATTTCACTTTGATCTGCAACAAACTGCAGTGATTTCCATCAATTAGACAGGACAGTTAGCTTTAATGCTTAAACAGATCCGGCCTAACCTTTCAGAGGTTTATAATGGAGCCCTCACCTTAAAAGCAGACGGCATGAGGGTGGGAATGGATGTTTGTATCTGTGTGTGCCTGTATGTCTGTGTCTATATGTCAGGTTGGGTATCAGACGCCACCTCTCTGGGGACATCTCAGGCCCTCCAAGGTTTGGAGGCTTATCTCCCCCCACCACTCCCCCTGCCAGTGGCGGACGCCCTCAGACATCGTTGGTGATTCTTTGTGTCCGTGGATGGGCGTCCAGGTACACACCGGCTCACTCCTTGGTGGCTGCTCGGGCCACTTCGGAGGTGGGGTGCCCCCGGCCTCTCGGCCTGGGGCTCGGTCACTCAGGCACGGCTGGCTGCCGGCGGAGCTCACGGGCGCGTCACTGCAACTCCCCCTGGCGTCTGCTCCAAGGCTGCTGAGTGAGCCCTCATCTGGGACTCTCCTCAGCTCTTTCTGGGACAGTGGCGCAGCTGCCCCTCTGTTGGTCTTCCTTGGTCTCTTGTGTTCTGGGGGCCTCTGGATGTCTGGAGTTTTGATCTCCTCCATACCTGCTTCATGCCCTGGAGGACGGGGCTGTGGCCCCCCCACACCCTCTAGCAGATCATTACATGAAGGAACCTTTTAAAAACAAACGCATTCATGCTCACAGGTGTACACACGGGTGATCACACCCACAAACTACACCCTTTTTGGCTCCTACCTCAAAGCACACTGTGTTCTGTTGATCTTATGTGCTGCACAATAATGTTTAATATTTAGTATTTACTGTCATATTCCCATATATCATTGTGATGTTGTTTATTCTGTTGCTCTCTTTTTTTTGCTTGTTTTCTCTTTGTTCTTTCTCAACAGGTGATCCAGGTGATCGATCGATGTATTTTTTGTCTGTTTGTTTTGTTGGTTTTTGCCCTTTATCCCGTCCCTCTTCCTCGCTGTTTTTTCCCCTCTTTCTTTCTCCCTTTTCTTTCCCCAGTCAAGTCTGTCCTGTGTTCAGCAAATGAAAATAAAATAAACAATAAAAGCAAAGGTGAATCAAATGGACCAATATGGCGAG